ACACATGAAGAAAGCTATATTATCGTGGCAATGTTTATCAAAATCACTTGTGTATACAACAAAGAAAATGTTCAATATTTTGATTGATATTTTTTGGTACATTAATAATATTTTAATGCAATTATTTGGTTGAAAGGTACGGAAATTCCTCGCAAATCAAACAATGTTTTTGAAACGAAACCAGAAAAATCTATATTATGCTACCCTTTAGGTACACCTTTTATTTTTTAGACCAAGATCGTGATAATTTACCTGGGTGGCTCCCATCCCAAATCACAACCAAGACTTATCCACATATAGAAACCTCGAAGGTCTCCCTTCTTTCTCAGCACCTCCAACGAAAGGATGAATATGTAAAACCCCAACGCAACACGACTACACCAACCAATAACCTAAGATTTCTCCTCGAATGAAAGAGCTGACTAAAACATGTGTTTGAACAAACAATAATTACACACATCCCGGCGAATCGACTTTCTCCCATGCGGATATTGCCACTAATTTGCCAGATTACGGTTGGGGAGGCCCGACGCCGGGCGCCCAAAGTCACCGTTGCATGCACGCACTCTCTAGACGGGTTCCGTAATTAACAAGCTCGCAGGAAGTCGATAAAATGGCCGCTGACTCATAACAGTTTGCCCGTACATTTCATTTGAGTGCACAACTGTAGCGAAACAATCAAGTTGAGTGCCTCCAGAGATTATAAGTTCTCAATCCAGGGAGCTTGATCTTTACCCTTGAGAAAAGGTTGAAATTGCACCACTAACACTGGATAGTTTTATTACATTATAGGCCTAGTGAATAATGGGTGAATGATGGGGAATAATGCATCTATTTTTGAATCGTTTGGAGTACTACGATATTAATTGAGAAAAAGAACAAACTCATCATTTGGTAAGGTCAACAAGGTCAGGTGTACCAATTCTTTCAATCCACATTCCATGTAAAAAAAGAGGTATGAAGAACTTCGATCACTGGAAAAGGTATCCCACGTTCAGTATTTATGACGTTTCATAAATATGGTTAACATTGATAGTAGACACGTAAGACTCGTAGGCCTACTTGTTATCGAGGTACAATGCTAATTGACATTTAGATTGTAAATGTTCACTGGATCTGCAAGTTTAATTGGGGTTTCAGCTGCCGTTATTAAATAGTTCTTGCTATCGATGGTCTAATTCAAGGTCTACTGTACAAAACATTAACATTTGAATGTGTTTCTACAAGTCAAAATCTGTACGCGACCTCTTGGCTATTAAAACTACTAAGAACCCTTCAAAACTCCGTTTCAATCACTTGGAACACAAAACATTGACATTTGAGTAACCTTTACCGCCCTTAACATACCACTCTTTCAACTCCTCTTCCTACTTCTGTATTAAGTAAAGCAATAAATTTCACATCAGAATCTTATCTTACCACCAACCAACCACATCTTATCAAGTAGAAATCATCTGAGAGATGATGAAACATGAAGTTACAGATAAAGCATGGCTAATCCTGCCACGACTGCTTTGATGAACAAGAAATTGCACTCAACCGTTTCAAGGCCGGCACTACGTCACAGAACACTTTCAGCAAAGGCATCTTGTATCTCATATCTTTAGACAAAGATAGACGTAAATGCAATATTCAGTTTGATTCATTAATATGACTTGGTCAATGTTTAATTGAGTCATTCGTGCGTGCACCTATGTATGTACCAACTCAATATTTAAAACGTGTTATCGATGAAAAGTACAGCGAAGGTAAAATAAACCTAATCATATAATACACATTATGATCGTTTTAACCAAATAATAAATCTGTTGCGTGACCACGCTTCAGAAGAAATCCCACCACCCCTCTAATAAAAGGCTTGGTTCTAAGAGGTATTGCTACATTTTCCCGAAACAACAATCGAGAGATTTTATCATATAATGAAATCGTTCCGAGCGGTTGACCGTATGTGGCAATGTGTACGTTGACTTTCCTATGATCATTATATTGTATCAGCAAACGAATTTGTTATCCCTAGCCCAAACTCCAACAATTGTTGTTCGATGCACGTAGAAAATGTTATGTCAATGTTATAAAAATGTTGTAGAAAATGTTGGATAACCTGGCTTGGGTCTCTAGTTGTATAATGTAAATGGACATGGGATTGTTGTGTTGATGACCATTGTAGACACGAATCATACAAGCCCTCTAGATCAACCTGACATAGTTTTCACACAAGGTACGGTGCAGTATTGTGTGATCAATACCTCGCAACTGTTTGGCATGCTGCAGGGGCGCAGCTTCGCACCAGTCTTATTGCTAATTGTCTACTGAGCCCACTTTATTTCGCGATAACAGCCGCTTACTTCTAGAATGCCAAGCACGAACTCGATGCTTGCGTTTGCTCGTCTGCTTTTCCTTATTTTTATGAGACGAAGAGTCTTAAAGCCCTTTTATAGTAGCATGCAGTACTATAGAAAGACTGTACTGTCTGTACTATAACAATTTATTTTAGGCCTATACATCATTATTGCATTTTGTCTGAATTGGAACTAAATAAAGTCTATATGTTCAATTTCGCTGCAAAATGTACATAAGCTCTTGGACAAATGACACCTGGATCTATAGTGATTCTAAAAAAATCCAGTATCTCATCTAGTTAAATCAGTAAATTATATTTTGAAATTTTGGCAAACCGCTTTAAAACTAAATATTGCCACACACTTCCTAGTAGATCGTATTATGTGTCTCCTTTTGAAGTTAAACCTAGACCATTTCAAGATACAGTGATGCCTGATATATTCGAAGTGCGTTGTGGGTTTGGCTTTTTGTTATTTCAACATCTCACCACAATTGCCTTATGAACTATTGATTGCCCTCTTATTTTGTAATCAAAGAGCAAAGCTATCCCTCACAGGAAAATCTACGCACCCAAAAGAGGGAAACATACGTCCCAATCATCAATGCATTAAAACACTCAATGATATAACACAGTTGTAATCACAATATTGATTTGTTGTATTTTTAACAGGCCTGCTACACAACAACAAAATTTTCCATTTCGGGTTTTATGGTTTTGACGTTGCATTATAAGGAATGGCTTGTATATAGAGATACGTAAGCATTATAGAAACAAGCTTTACATATCAACTAGTTCATTGTACAATTTTCAAATACCATACAAGATTATTTAAAATTGATTTCTTCTAAAATAACATGATTGATATTTTTATTCCTCGAGATAAAGTCAAATTGTTGTAGCAAAAACCTATCCATAAAACTTAGAATATCACTAATTTTCGTTATTGAAGATATTTTACCACAGTTTACGAATGTTCATAAATCACTGTCTACTAAATATAATTATTATATACTTACGCACTATAATAGTAGTTTTCGTTACTAATCCCTAAAGTAGGCTTTTTTGGGACGGTATCGTGTTATGGGGGAAATTCGATTGAGTCACAAAAAAGAATTTTGGACAAGCTGCGAACAATATTTTTCATTAAATTGTCATATATTATAGAAACAAAAAAAAAAATATATATATAGCTAAAACCGTTTGTTAAAGCATTTTAAAGGATCAGAACAGCTGATTTGTTTTCTGAGATAAGCTTTGACATATCCATATGATTCGAGTCCGTATAATCTTACGGACTAGTCCGCAAAAAGCTATCTTTAGGAACTCAAAACAGACAGCTAAGACAGCTTTTTTGAGACAGTATAGTGAAAAATGTATTAAAGTTACTATTACAATTTTTTTTTTGGGTTAAAATTACTGAATATAAAAATGTTGGACTGTCACACAGTTACAGTTAAGACTCGTAACATTGTATACAGATAACGCTTCGCGAAGTAGACGCTGACACAACCTATTTCTGTGTCACAACCAGAATGTTGACAAACAGTGCGTGATATAGTAATCAAACTTAACTTGCCAATCAGCGATATGTCAGCTGTGTTGGGTGTACGATACGCAGTACTTTAGTGTAGACGGGTTTTAACGCATGTATTGGCGATATTGTATGCGCTTCGGGATAACACATGTGCTCCGCAGTGTATTCGTATTTGCTATAGCGTCTGCGTTCTGCAGTGTATTGACGATAACCCATGCGCTCCACAGTGTATTCGTTTGCTATAGCGTCTGCGTTCTGCAGTGTATTGGCGATAACCCATGCGCTCCGCAGTTTATTCGTATTTGCACGTGTTCGTATAGCGTCTGCGTTCTGCCGTGTATTGGCGATAACCCATGCGCTCCGCAGTGTGTTCGTATTTGCTACGCTACAGCGTCTGCGTTCTGCAGTGTATTGGCGATAACCCATCCGCTCCGCAGTGTATTCGTATTTGCTATAGCGTCTGCGTTTTGCAGTGTATTGGCGATAACGCATGCGCAGTGAAAGGAGCTGGTGTTGCAACCGTGACATATAGAATGGCACAGCTCCGAGGCCACATGTCACGGTTGTACAGCATCAAGGGAGACATTAGACTACGGAATGCGGCGGGCGTGTCCCCGGGGTGCTTTGCAACAACTGTGTTTCGGAAAACTAAATTACGTGTACAACTGTTTGTGGTTCACATGTTAACATTGTTAACCTTTTATAATAGGTCTTGGCCCTTTACGGTGGCTGTGAAAGGAAAATGTTCACACTACAGTTCTTGAATAAACATGACATGAAATTTATTCGAATCTTTTGATTGTGTAGATAAAGTTTAAAATGAAGAAAATAGGCATGCAATTAGGGGTGACACAAAGTATTTTTTCTATGGTGTTATTTAGTCGTAACTATCCACTGTTCCGGTGTTTACGTGGACGTTCAACAAGATGCGAAGAACGCTGCGAGTGAGACCAGATACTAAACATACTATAGAACGGGTGGCTTTATTGAATGAAATAAAATCCTCATTTCCGAGGAACTGTATGAAAATCTTCTAAATAATAATTTCCATTATTTTCCCTGAGCGTTATAATAGTGGATACTATAGAAGTATACTCGTAAATTAAACATAACATAAAAACTGACCAGAATGAACTCCTGTGTCCTCGTCCTCGATCTTGACGTGTCGCCTCTCCTGAGCCTTGTCTCCCGCTGAAGACAACAACCTCTCGTCCGGCAGCTGGTCTATCATGATGACAGGGACGTTCGACAGGTCCACGCTCAGGCTACTGCAGGAGTCCTTCGCTTCGTCCTTAGCCGAAAGCTTGTTAGACGAACTCCGAGTCAGAATGGTTGAGGAACTTCTCGACAGCTTCTTAGAAGAAGCTCTCCTTATCAGTGAAAGAGGCGAGTGCTGTTTGGACGGAGAACTCGTAGGAGATCGATTAATGACTTCTAACGCTTGAGCCGAAGTGGATAACAACTTGGTGGACACTTTGAGCAAAGGAGATCGTATTCTATCCGACGCCGACGAAGGAGTTTTCTGCACCGGCATCAAAGTAGGAACTTGAGGACCTGGAGCGTCTATGGTTCTAGTAACCGTGAGCAAAGGTTTCGACGGGGTCTTCACCGGGCTTTTCACATGTTTAGTCCTAGGAGTCCGCAGAGGTGTGGACCCCGGTCTACTAGGAGATCTGGGTTCTTCCTTCCTCTTCTCCGGAGACGTCTGCGCACTCCCAGGCGATCGCTTGGGTGTAGACGTGGACATTTCTCTCTTCGCGACACTACTGGGAGTCCTGTTGTCCGCTAGTGGGACATAGAACGTCGACCTTCGCCGACCCCCACCTGCCTCGCTGTCCGCGAGCATGGTCACTACTGCACTTGCACTTGCACTAACCGCTGCTACAGCAACTCTACACTAGCATAGTGTATGCACTCACACAGACACTTTTACGTCATCCTACAGACAAGTGGAAACAACAATATGACGAAACCCGGTAATCGAACAAGTGTCAACTGAGCATAATAGTAATTGACATCAATTTAAAATAGGCCTAAAAATATGTTGAGCAAAAATTGCGTGTCAAATCGAAACTAGTAATCACTAATTTGTCGTCAACCTTTCAATAACACTGTATCTCAGTCAACACCCAAACATTCCGTAACTCGGACACCGGCTTATCCGAACACCCAGGCCGGTCAGTGACGAGCTATGGAGCACAACACGACCAAGACCTCGCGGCACACGAGACACAACACGAGTACGGAGTACGGAGTACACGCCGCCCGCCGCAGCCGTCCCTTCTCCCACCGCTCGGCAAAGTCCGGCCGCGCTCGAGTGTCTTCGTCTCCGGTCAAATCTCCAGACAAAGGAGCCCAAGTCTGAACGTCTGCTTGCATTTCTTCGATTCGATTCATCCCGCCGACACAACACAACCTGCTTGAGGTTCTACCTGAAACGTTCCAACGTCCCCTTTGTCCACACACCTGACACCCCTAATGTAGCTTCTTGGAATTTGGAACTGTTAAATAGTTTCTCGGCTCAGCCCCTTTCAGTGAAACACGCTCGGAAATCCGTCGTGACGAAGTGTCGTCTCCATTCACGGTGTGAAACCGTGAATTCGTCGAAAATATTTTACACTGCCTTAGTTATAAAGCGATATAAAACTGAATGTTTAGTGATATTTTCTACTTATTTTCTACTGTATTTCGACGTAAATCCACGTTACGATATAACAAGGATTGAATAGTTTAATTTCAAGTAAATTTCCGAATAAATATTCCCTGGGTAGCTGAGTAGTTATAGTGCTCGCCTACTAATCAAAAGGTTGCCGGTTCGATCCTGAGAAAAGTCCGTAGCTTTTTGATGGTTCGAAACTGGACCCAGCTGTTCCTGATCATTGGGCTTTAAATAAATGATCCTGGCTAATGAAACAGCTGATCTTAACAGTAACAAAGCTACACAGATCATCACACACCATTCTACACTCATCCTTCACTCATATTTGGGTTAAAATACGCACCTAAGTGGCGTCCCCATCTTAATGATTGATAATTGATAATAATTGATAACTTGCTTTGTAGTAAATCTTAGTGGAAAACCCCATCACCATATGAAAAACATAATCGATTTGAATAAGACACAAATTTGTAAATACAGGCATTATATTATTTGTATTTCTAAGAACCCAGACCTTTGCATAGTCCCATAAATAATTCTCAAATATAATAAAAATACTCTTTTTAACATCGTGGATTCCATCAAATGAACAAATCCCAATTGAAATACCAATGAGCACTGTACAGAAAAATACACGTTTACTGAAAAACGTAGTACTGAAGAAACTACCACAATTCATTCTACCATTGTAGCAAAGTACAAATCGATCAAAACCTAGCTTTATATGAAATTTAGAGTACAATAGGATAGCTTATAGATTAGTTTATATTCGGTTGGTAGTGATTCTAGTTTGTATATTTTTACCAATTTACTGCAATATTATATTTTTGAACACAAGAGATTTGGTAGTAAAATTATTCTACAATGATGAATCACTGAGTGGCCAGAAGGTGCTTATTATAGGTGTTGCCCCCCCCCCCCCAACCCCCCCCCTGCGGTGTGGGTGACCGTGACCCTTGGTCAGCGTTCACTTTCATACGTCATGAGTCACGTGACTATGTGTACGGGATGCAGTGTTACCACTAGCGCAGCACTACAACACCACCTGAGCCAGTGGTACCAACGGCAGGGAATAACAAGTCTTGAGATACTTTTGTTCGTTAGAGCCTAAAATAAATATTAAACATAAGGATGCTGTGTAAAAGGTTTATAGAATTTGTCTAGTATTTTGTTTGGTTATAATCCAAGAACTGTTATATTATACACGCTATCACTATAGATGAACTAACATGAACTATATGTCCATTTCCTATTTCAAAGTTAATAGTAAAATTGAATAAAAAAGTGTACAAACTGTCTGGCTCCCTGATCCAAGATTGAGGTCAATAAATCCTGTATTTAAAGAGGGAAAAATCTGTAGTTTGAATTTCCCACGGTTATTGTGTTATGACAAACTGTGATTCATATTTACTTAGTTATCCGACTTGAATTTCAGATACTAAGTCATAACTTTACTCATCCTAATCTAATCTAATGGTTTTGGAGTAAATGTTATAAATGACCTAATGCTCTCAATTGGCTGCATGAAAAGAACACTGTAAATAATCCATTATTGCTGCTTTGCCGTAAAGTATCCATTCCATGTTTCTATTATTTACTTAGTAGTAATGCAAGTAACTGTTACTTTATACTACATGATTAATGATTAAAAATAGTTCTATGTGTTAACTAGTTTTGCTGCACACGAGAGAAAAGTTTATGCGCGAGCCGTAGGCGAATGTGGAAAGTTTCTGTAGTGCAGCAAAGACAGCTCACACTCGTGTTGCGTGTTAACGCATAATATTTTTCATACAGTTACTATAAACCATATAAGCTTTAAGCGCCAGTCGCGTCAGGTAGTGAAACTGTACTTTTGTTTTCATAGGCGTGTCTTATCACTGACTGATTATCAGTAGTTCTATGATCCATTAGGATCATTAAATACTAATGAAGCATTATTATTTTTAGTACCACGTTTTGTGTAAAACCACGTCTACATTATGAAATTGTGAAAAGCACTTGACGGTTTGATATACCTACTTAAAGTAAACTTTTATTTTTTAAAACATGTTAACACTTTTACGACCTACAGAAAAACTGGATCCATAATTATGTTTTACTGTGCGAGGATAATGGCTGCCCTTTGATTCTAGAAAACAGTGTAAAGTACACAATCTACATCCATGTTAAAATTGTAGCCGGTTTTTGAATAAAAGGATTCACTTGATTCATTTAAGCCACCGAAATCGTGGGCTTATGTACAATACCATTCTTGTAATACATCAACTTCTTGATAACCCAAAACTAAAATTAATTGATTTTAAGCAATAATTATCTGTTATGTGTCCATAAGCCAACAAAGAGAGAATTTAACCTAATTAATTCAAACATAGCATAAACTTTGTAATTAATAAACTAGCTACATCTAGTCCTAAAGATGGGATACGAAGAGCAGTTAATAGTAGTATCCAAAGGCAGCTTAAGATTCAAAAAGTAAACATTACCTGAGTCATCATCAAAGGGAGCAAAAGTTCGAGGCAGAGTCTGCGCTCTGGACTCACCTGAAAATGAAAAAAACAAGTTAAATAGTTGTAGTACAATGCAACTAAAGAACTAAGTAGTTGTAGATCAAACACACTCTTATAATTATATGGATTTTTCACATCAATTAGCTGTAGACAAAAACAATGTTAATGTATGTTTCTGTCATGAAAAGAGTGCGCTGATGTCTTCTTATTAATAGCAGTGGAACCTCGATAAGAAATCCCTCAATAATTATAACTAGTGGTCGTCCTGTGGTCGAAACTCGACCAAAAATAATTAATGTACAGACTTCTCTATTTTCTCCCCACACTGTAAATAAAACATGTGATTGGGATTTCTTCCATTTGTTTTGATTTTCTGTTTACATTTTGTTGTTATTTCGTCACCATCATGGCAACCCAGTTGGTCCATGTTAATTTTTTGAAGTTTTCAAATTCGTTTTTTGTGCTTATTTTTTAGCCTATTTTAATTTATAAAGGGATTCTGCACGTCTACAGGCAAATATCTTTCTAACAGTATGCGTAGATTTCCCCTGCGATGCACACGAGCTGAGAAAAAAGGTTTTAAAGAAACATGCTTGCCTATTAATATATAGATAAGCTACATTGATAACAAATGGCATTTTCTAACCTCCTTGAATTAATTTAACCCACTAATCACATGCTATTGCAAACCTTTATAAGTTAACCTTGATGGCAAGTCTTATTTTATAATCCCCATGACAGTCTTGTTATCGAGGTTATGTAGATTTTGGACCTTAACATTATTTCGACTAAACGTAATCCAACCGTGAACTACTGTACAACATATTTTTTCGGAACAAAACAGTAGAAACCTTCAAACAATTTTTCTTTGTGGAATGTATGCTTTCATAATATAGATTTTCTTGGTCAATGGAAAGGTCTGGATAACCATACACCATAGGTTGATGGTTGAGAATAGTTGAAACTTTGAAAAGAATAACTGGATAGTTACACAACCGGCCCATCGATTTCCCTGACAATAGGCCTATAGTTCATGTTTACTACGATTCTTTACTGCAAACATTGTTTATGAGTATGTTTATTTCGTACAAAATTTATATCACAACATTATTTTGTTCAGTATTAACAAATATAAATTCTGTACTAAAAAAATCATAGATCAAAGCAGACAACCGTTGAAAGTAGCAAGACAACACCTGAGACCAACAACATAAAACTAACGAGACGATATCTCGTTATTGTCTAGTATAAAGTTTGGTGTTTCGTGTCGGCCGATCTCCAGGCCTATGATTACCACCAAAAACGTGACTTAAGAAAAAAGATGAATAAAAACACCTCGAAATCTGGCACACGACGATGATGTAGTGGTCCGGCCACGAAACTCGGTCAACGGAAACGGTGTTGCCAATAATTAGCATGGTTCATCGGCAGGGTTGCCAATATTGAGGATGGGAAGTTTAAGAGTTCACAACATTGATCAGATCGGTTATATTGTAAGTCTTGATTAGATTATTTGCTTAATCACTCAATTATCCTTACAATGTTGACATTCTGATCCTTCTTGCTTTCTCTTGTCAGTTCAGCTTCATGGGAAACAAGCGGATGAAACTATGAAGTAATTAAGATTGATAAACTATGGGAAGCATGGCTGAGAAATTAAAGTAAACAGGATGGAAACGGGCCTGTCATTATTCATGCAAAATTTAACTTTACTTCTTTATAGACCTGATAAATCTAGTAGAATATCGAAGTAGAGTATAGTGTCTCAAAATTCTTTATTTCTAACTTTTTGAGGCATTGAAAACCTCACGAGAATCACAATAAATCTAGCAGGTAAATATGACAATCATACACAACTAGAGAAAATAAATAAAAGAATATGATATCATAGAAATAAAATTGCACCTTTCCATTCGGCTCAATTTTTTCAGTTAAAAACTTAATATCATACGACGCTTTTAACATGGTTTTAGAGGTACTCATAATAATTTATAAACCACTTTGTAGCAAACTAGAGTTTCCGCGCTTCTAATGACTAGAA